TATGCAATCGAATGCAGTAGGAGAATGCAATGGAACTAGATAGATAACATGAGGGATTTCTTTGGCCCAAATCTTTTAAAAGCGTTTTGAATCAGTATCTTCATGTTTTAGTGCCGAATTCAGGCTTCAAAAAATTACAAATTAGCGATCTGTAAGAAAACGATTTCCAGGTTGTACGCACTTGTGCGAGTGACTTGCGATCTCACATTTTCTAATCGCTAATTCGTGGTTTTCACGGACGAATTTCTCACTTACACGGATGGCGCACTCGACTTTTATGGAATTTAACGCCTTTAAATGGTAATTTGCTTACTTCAAAGTTTCTTAAGGGTATACAACATATTAAACCCGTGTAACAAAAGGTTAAGTTAGATTCCGACCCATATTTCGTTTAACAATATTGCATACAGCGCCATTTTTTCCCCCTGGTGGTGAGGTTTCGAACTTTCTTTTTTTTTCGCGGAAAATAAATTCCCATGACCTCCTTTACACGGTTACCAAGTTTGATAACATTTGATCCAGTAGTTTTCCTTTTATGACCGTTTCAAAGTGGAACTTTAATTATAACCACCCTGTATATTATTAAATTTTAATTTGAAGCTATGCGTTATATGTATACCATGCGTAAGATTTTTCGCTTTTGTGAAAAAAATAAAGAATCGAAGCAAATATACTTAGGATAATGGACCAAAACTGAAAAAATCTCCCCTCCCTCCGAAAATAAAATATTGAAACTTCGACCTTGAATTTATTGGGAATTATCGAAATATTTAATTTGACTTATCTTCTAAGTCCTAGTTCCGACAACAATTCCGTCAAAAATTCCGAATTACTTGAAGCTGAAGTAAAAGGATTTAGTATATATTCACTGTATGTTAATAAAGTAATCAGAGTGTAATAAAAATAGATTATAGAATTTACGCTGATGCAACTTTTTGTCTGACTGCACAACATGTAATGGAAGAGAAGGCTTGTAGAGATCTGTTTTTGACATGCCTCTAAAAGTAGATGTCATACTCCTTTTGTCTCTTCAATGTCAAAAAACTTTCCTTTGAGAGGCAACTTTAGTTTTTGGGAAAGGAAAAAAATCACAAGAAGACAAATTTGAAGAACATGCAGGACGATTGAGTACACATACTTATTTTCGGAACACAAGCGGTTCTCCGACTGGTTATTGAATAATGAAAAGATGCATTGTCATGCAATACAAAACATTTGGAATACGTTTTCTGACTGAAAACGTAAGATTAAAAGTCATCTGCTATTAATTCACAGCCATTTACAAGTCAACTACTCGGGCAATTGCAGAATCGTTTTGATCCTGAGCTTGTAAGACAAACCTAATATCACTGGATTTAAACACTTCTTTAATCTTCCGAGAACGTTCCTTCTTTAGCTCATATTCCAAGAATATTAAGTGAATACAATTATTGCAAAAGAAATTGAATATTCATTTGCACTACGGCTTGGTAGTTTACTAACGAGTTAACAAAACTTAAATTCTGCTTTTTGTGTCTAAGAATACAACAATATTTTAAATATTTACAAATAAAATATTAAATTGGAGATTTAATTGGAGCCTCACCAGTTGCCTAGCATTTGAAGATTGTTAAATACTAATTGTTTGTTGCGAAGTCTAACCCAGGCTGCATGGTTGGTTTTCGTAGTTTTCTAGGTTCTCTTTACAAAGGTTCTCTATGAAAGCATCTTAATCAAATAGCTCCCATGTTCTTTCTATGTTCAAATAACCAACTAACCTAGTTTAAGCGCGATTTTCTAGTTTAAGAAGCGATTTCCAAGTAGAAGTTACTAGCAAAACCCGAATACTCATTAAAAATCATGTAGCTTGCCAATCGGGAGTAACATGAAAGATACGGCGCCAATAATTGAATTGCTGTTACGGTACGCTGTTTCTAAACTTAGATGGTCATTCCTTAATTAAATAGCCCACCAGCGGCCGAGCGGTAAAGACGCTGAATCACTGGTAGTTCGGTCCGAGGTTCGAATCCCGCGAACGGGCTGGCCGCATGCGGCGTTTTTGGTTTTCCCCATGTGTAACGTGTATACGAGCCAGTTTACCTTAGAAAGTCCTCCACGAAGGCATCCCTCCCTTTAGGCAGATAGCCCTCGTGTGCTTTGCCATAATTAAATAATCCAATCCAATCCTTAATTAAATATAATTGATTTGTAACTTCTACTAGAACTGACGGTAAGAATTGAAGTGCAAATAAATAATATCGTGTGCAATCTTGATTAATATAAAATTTAAAATATTTGCATAGAAAAATATTTTGCATTCAGACAGAAAGTTTTTTGAAATATTTGCAATTACTTTATAAGAAGGATTTATTAATAACCGTAATAATTACTTATTATATTACTGATGATTAGGATTCAGTTCTTGACAATTACATTCTAAATTAGAATTTTAAGGATATAATGAAAATACGCTACGCACAAAAATACATTTTAGGATAAAAAATGAGTTGGTTTTTTTATGTTTTAAAACTTTCTTAAATTCATTTAATAAACATCGTATCCTCGTTGTTAATTGAATCCAGAATGTTGGGTGGCGTTTATATAATTATTCTTACTTGTCCACAGAATCTGCTGACTTATCCAGCCATTAAGTAGCTGCAGATCATTTCTACATAACCATTGAACTTCCATTAATTCAGTCTCTAGAGGGCTGTATGTTTATATCATAATTTGACTTTTATAAAAATGATTATTCTAAATATTATGTTTCTATAAAAATATACTGTGCTTTAAAAATGTGGATGATAGTATCAGCCGCTCTTTCAGCCACTTCAAAAGCAACAGTTTGTTTAGAAATAAATTATGCAGTTAATGTCATAAAATTCAAATAAATATCAAACGAAAATTTCTCAGTTTTAGACAATTCGATTTAAACGAAGTAAAGTAGCAGACGATAAAACGCCGAAGGTAAAAATTTACTCTTATTTTTTTTAAAAAAAAACTTTTTAGCTTTTTTAAAAAAGGAAGATAGAGAGAAATTTAAAAAAAATAGTTAAAATTTGAATAATATCATCTATAATTTTTAAAAAAATAGCTTTTCATATAGTATTAATAAATATTTATTACGATCATTGAGGGAAAAAATGTTATATAATTAATTCTCCGTAAAATTTTACTTGAAATTTAAGGTTAAAAATAGCTGTGGCAATTCAGTGTAACAAAAATCCATAGACCACATTTGGCGTTATTATCGCTCAAAAAAAAGATGCCAAATTTCAAAAACTCGAAAATATGTAAATTCGTGTATATCTTAGAAAATTTTGAAAAAAAGTCTAATTTTTTGCAGATATGCTTAAAAATACACCTACTTTAAGATGATGGTAAAAATTTTATAGGTTATAATTCAAATTTTTTTTCGAAAAATTTATAAAAATTATTTAAAAATAGAAATTTTTAAAAAATAAAACACAAAAAATGGTAAATTTTATTTGGAATGAACCTAAATTTCGAAATGTGAGAGAAAAATCAAAAAAGTTTAATAAAAAAGAGATATTAATAATATTTGCCAAATTCAATTAACATTGAGGAGCTAAAATTTTGAGAGCTAATATTTTAAAAACTACTCGTACGATTTTTACAAAACTTGGTATTCTGGCATAATTTGAGTCGTAGAATCGAAATATGGAAAAAAATTGGTATGTTATTTCAGAAAAAGTCCGATTTTGTGTCAAAATACCTATGTTAGAATAGTGCTATATATAAATCTAATATATATCCTAAGTCGCGCTTTCGAGACATGAAAAACGCAATTTGAATTTTGTCAATCGGCCCAGTAGAACGGGAGATATAGCACTGTCCTTTTTTTTTTTTTTTTTTTTTTTTTTTTTTTTTTTTTTTTTTTTTTTAGCATGTACATAAGGAAAACCGTAAAAATTAGACCAGAAAGTGATTAAAGGAATTTTTATCGGTTACGATCAACGAACAAAGGGGTACAGAATTCACAGAGGTAAAAACTGTATAATCATCAGTAGAAGCGTAAAGTTTGCCGAAGAATTATCAGCGAATGAAAATATTGAAATTTCTCTTCATCCAAAGGTTTAAGATGTTGAAAATGATGAAGAAACTGAAGAAAAACACAAAATTATATCCATAGAAGAGCCCACCAGAACGTCTAGGATTTCTAACAAACACAATCAAAACCATACCTGAGAATTTTAAAGACTTAGATAAATTTAATTCCGAAGAAAAGGAAAAATGGTTACTCGCAGTTGGCGAAGAAATCAATTCCTTATCCCGAAATAAAACTTGGGAACTGGTTGATCTTCCTGTAGGAAAGAAACCTATTGGCTGTCGATGGATTTTCAATCTGAAAGAAAACGAAGATGGAACAGTCATTCGTTACAAGGCGCGACTAGTTGCTAAAGGTTATAGTCAAAAATTTGGAACTGATTACGATCATACCTTTGCACCAGTAGTTCGACATACAACTATCAGAACTTTTCTTGCTGTCGCAGCATATGGTAAAATGCATGTGAAGCATGTAGACGTTACTACAGCATTTCTACATGGAAATTTAGTAGGAGAAATATACATGGAACAGCCAGAAGGCACTGTTCAACCCGGACAAGAAGAGAAGGTTTGTAAACTTAAAAAAGCTATTTATGGATTAAAGCAAGCTGCTAGAGCATGGATTAAAAAAGTTGAAGAAGTATTAAAGAATAGTAACTTCTCGCAAAGTACAGCATACCCATGCTTATTTCTAAAGAAAGATGGAAATGACACGATAATGATTATTGTCTATGTCGACGATATAATTATAGCATGCAAAAGTGAAGAAAAAATCAATAGGCTAATCAAATCTCTCAATGAATTCTTCGAAGCAAAAGATTTGAGAAATTAGAAACTACTTAGGAATCAACATCAAAAGGGATGAAAATAAGTTTCTATTGAGTCAAAAATCAAAAATAGAAAAATTGAAGAAGATATTTTGTCCAGATATCCACAAACCATCATACACACCAATGGATACTTCTTATCCAAAGGAAGAGGACATCTCTCCACCAGTGGACAATACGAAGTACAGGCAAGCCATTGGAGCCTTGTTATACATAGCCACTGTAACCAGACCAGACATTACTCTTGCAGTGAATCGATTAAGCAGGAAAAATGAATCTCCAAATGAGAAAGACTGGAAAGCAGTTCTAAGGGTGATTGAATACCTCAACTCTACGAAGGACATTTGCCTAAGAATTGACTTTGATAGCACACCAACACTTTCCTGTTATACGGATGCCGACTATGCATCTGATTTAACCACCAGACGATCAACAGGTGGAAATTTATTTTTCTTAGGAAATAATCCAATATTTTGGTCCACAAAGAGACAAAATTGTGTTTCCCTGTCATCTACCGAATCTGAGCTTATTTCTGCAGCCACTGCTGCTCAAGAGCTCAAATGGATATTAGATCACCTTAAAGATTTTGGAATAACTCAAAAACTACCCATTAAGATATTTGAGGTCAATAAGTCCACAATAGCTCTTATAAAACAAGAGAAAATGAATACTAGGCTAAAACATATTAATGTTAAATATTTCTTTTTAAGGGAAATGGAAGAAAATAAAATAATTGAGATAACTTACTGCAATACAAATTCTATGATTGCAGATATTTTTAACAAGCCATTGTTTTCGTCATTAGTTTTCGCAAAGAAACCTTTTCTTGATCTCCAAGAGACTAAAATAATGATTCCCATTCGTGAAACAATAGAATATTGAGACAGTATTCTTTACGAACAGCGAAGACAAAAGGCATTCTCATCAGGAGTCGATGCTAAATAAATTTAAAATTATAATACGTTTAAAATTCATCCCATATTCAATTCCGAACAAACATGTGCAAAAATCAAAAAACCAGAAACCAGAAGCATAGTGACAAACAACAAGAAAAAGGGCCAACTATGCCACAAACAAAAATGAAATAAGAAATTTACACCTTTCATTGCATCGTCATCTTTCGCTTCATCGTCGTTATTTTTTTCTTCATTTCACCAACTCTCTGATGAAGAAGCAGCGAAAGATAAAAAAAAAAATTGTTGTTTCAATTTTTGGTTTTGGCGTGCTTTGACCACTTTTCTTGCAGTTTGCCACTGCGCTTCTCGTTTCCTGTTTTATTATTATTATTATTAATAATTTATTTTATTTTTATTTTATTTATTTATTTAAATTTTTTTTCATATGTTCTTTTCGAATTGAATATGGGTTGAATTTTAAACGTATTATGGATTTATATTTGTTTTAACTAACAAGTTAAGTTTAATTTTAAGCCTTCCTAAAAGCCTTCATTTTCCTAATTGTCAATGCCAGAATATTTAAGTATGTGAAATAATGCAAATTTTACCTCGACGAAAAAAAGGTTTAAATACTGAGGTCTAGAAGAGAAAGTTAGAGAGAGTGGACAAACACTGTATCTTTGTAGCGTGAGCTTCTGGTTCTGCTTTTATTGCTGGTTAACGTTACGTAATAGCTATTACGTTGCTGCCACTAGTTTTTGACGCAGTACACGGTTTTAGGTAACAGGATTATCTGAGGCCATGTAGAGTAATTCTGCTACTTGTTAATATTTTGAAATTTTTAGATCAGTTCTTTTATTTGAGTTATCGCCCGAGTGAGGCGTAGTGTGTTAGCGTCAAGTCAACGCATTGTGAATTTTAAAGAGTTAATAAAGGGTTCTTTTTACCCTTCTCATGTGTGTTTGTACACGTACGTCAATTGTCACATTAGAAGCTAGACAAGTAGATCATACATTTGGCGTCCGAATTTCTACTCGAATCCGATGGCCAACGATCAGGACGGGCAATCATCCCCACAAGTTTCAGAAGTCGCAGGTCCCATGATGGCCAGCCCTTTGGATGGATTTGGTTTCCTAATACAAATAATGAGAGCGTCCATCAAGCCAGCAGTGGAGTTCAACGGTAAGAACTCAGTCACTTCATACCTAGAAGCCCTTGATAATCACTTCCAATTGTACCCTGTACCCGAGAGACAGAAAGTAGCTATTACGTCGAGTGCTCTCCGAGGACAGGAGAAGTCATGGTGGAAAGGAATCAAAAAATTCTTACATGAAGAAGTCGGAAGCCTCACCTACAATTTTGAAAGTTTTAAAGGCTGCACTTTTGAAGGCCTTCCCGATAGTTAAAGATCGTGCGAAAGTCGAAGCCGAATTGTACAGCTTTTTTCAACAGAAATTTGAGGATCTTAGAGAGTTTATTCTACGGAAGTTAGTAAATATGCTATACGGAAGAAAGCCGGATTAAGAAGTCAATGAAATCATCTTACCAAGGTTATTACTTGGAGTACAAGATTTCATGGAGCTAAAAACTTACGAAAGTTTCGCGAATTATTCGAATTAGCCATCCAAAGGGCCGTGAAATTCCTGAACCGGCGGATTGCAGAAAGCTCTAGATTTTCTACCCGAGGAATATCATCAGCAGTTCTCCCGACAGCAGGCCACAGAAAGAAAGAAATTCAACGGAGGAAGACGTTTTGCAGACAAGCCGTCAACGAGTGAAAACGATAATACGGAAAAGAAGTTCGATAAAGACCGCCACCGTACCCAAAAGACATCAAGATGAAAGAATAATGCTGTAAATGAATAGGGGGTTTGAGAAATTGAGGGTCCAGACCCCCGGTGCATCGCGAAATTTCTCTAAGGTGCACTTAAATACAGTGGTGGTAAAGAATTCGCAATTACCTGTAATAACCTGTAATAGAGGTTCCGTAGAGGCACTCGTAGACACCAGCGCGCAAGGAAAATTTTTAAACCAAAGTTTCTATTATCTGAATTTTCAAAAAGTAAGGCTATTTAAAAATAATAGTACGGAAATCCTAGCCGCACAAGGTAAACTCTGTGACTGCGTCCAGAAACTATAAGTAGAGGTAAAGGATGAAGTTTTAAAAGTTTTAATTTTTATAGTGCAAAAGCTATAAAGTAAAGTTATTTTAGCAACGGAGTTCCCTAAAGCCGCCAACGCTAGAATAAATATTACAGAAAACTCTATTAACCTCGGCATGGTTTACCAAGGGTGGTGGAAGACGAAAAAGTCCCAGAACTCGACTTCCAGCATCTAAAGCAAGATGAAATAGCGATGCTGAAAGAAATCGTAAGTAAATTTTCTGGAAATCCCGGAAAAACACAAATAGTCACACATACCATTGAATTAAAATCAAGCGAGCCGTGTAAAGCGAAATCTTATCGATTTAATAAAGAAAAGGAAGCCATAATAGAAGACCATATGCAACAGATGTTAAAAAAAAATAATAACCCCCATCAATAGTGAATACCCAGTTGTGCTATGCAGAAAGAGAAATAATTTGTCCCTCCTCCTCGGATCCAAAATCCTGGCGTTTGTTATTGATTACAGAAAATTAAATAGCATGACTAAATTTCCTATCTGCCTTTTACCGGTAGTAGAGGAAATAATAAGGAAAATTAGGTCTACGAAATTCATGACCACTCTTTATCTTACTTCAGGCTACTTTCAAATAGCCATGAAACCAGGAAACGGGAATGAAACGGCGTTTATTACAAAATCGGGCACTTATGCATTTTTACGTATGCCGTTTGGACTTTGCGGGGCCTTCCCAACTTTTCAACATACTATGGACATTATTCTACGTCCTACTAGGGAAGTCCACATTGATATACTTAGATGATATTGAGGAAAATGTCAAAGATCTCCACGAAGCTTTTTTTTATTATTAAAGGAAGCAGGGTTAACTCTTAATGTATCAAAATGTAAGTTGGCAACTTAAGAACTTAAATATCTCGTGTACAAAATTTCAGCTAAGGGTATCGAAACTGAAGATTTTTAAATAAAAACAATAAAAAATTACCCACCGCCATATACGGCAAAGAAACTTTCATCCTTTCTTGCATGTGCTCGAATTGCCGTTCTTTCATACAAAATTTCGCCAATATCATTTAACCTTTGTTAGTGTTAACCCTTTCCGGCACGCTACCTTTTAAAGTTGTTTTGATATAAAAAAAAATAAAAAAAAAAGGTAGGCAATCTAATTAGGCTTAGAGAAGTACACAAGTAATGTGAAGATAGCACTTATCATTTATTTCTGTGGGTGAACACTGATTGAATAGAGCTTCGAAAAGAGTTCTGAAACGAGCATTGTTGTCAATGAACTGGCCGATGAGATGCGGAGAAACAAAGAATACAGACTCTCAGTTGTCCTAAATTATCGGTGAGCCCGGTCTGGGCACACCTTGGGTTTGCCGTTTGATTTTAGGCAAGATTTCAAGGTAAAAATTTAAAACTAATGTAGAATAAGGAGATTAGCATACAGCCAAAAAAATAACATAGAAATTTCTTTTCAAACAATTACTTTTATACCCTTAAAAAAATTTGGAAGATTTCTTTGAAAAATGAGGGTCTTAAAAAACTAAACATGGCTAAAATATATGGACTGGTTTGTGTTGAGCTGCCATCTAATATAAATAAAGAAGGTTCAGAGTAACCTATAAATCCTTTTTCATTCAATTTTTCTGTGCTTACAGAAGGAAATTTTTAGGTGTGTCCAGGCCGGACACACTGTGCCGCAAAGAGTTAAAACAGAAGAAATCAAAGTTTGCTTGGACACGGAAGCAAACACGGCTTTTGAACAATTAAAAACAGCTCTAATTAGCGCTCCAGTGTTAAACTTCCCGGAAGGGGACGAGAACTTGGAAATCGCGGCTGATGCTTCAGATTACGTCATGGGTGTAGTTTTAATGAAAAAAGATCATTCCATAGCATTTTTTAGTAAAAAGGAGTTATACAGCGATCGAAAGAGTTATACAGCGATCTACATAAGGAGTTATACAGCGATCGAAAGAGAAACGTTAGCCGTGTTAATGGCAGTTCAGAAATTCCGGGTTTATTTTGGGAAAACACCCATTACAATCTATTCAGACCATGAGGTCGTAGGTGGACTATATTCTAGGAAGAATTTAATTCCCAGATTAATTAGATGAGCCTTAAAGTTACAATAGTACAACTTAATTACTAGGAATACTCCCAGCAAGGAAAACACAGTGTCCGACGCGTTACCAAGAATTAAACTGAATGAAAATGGTGATCAGATAAAATGTGCTTTAACTTCGAAAGTTTTAGATTCCCGAAAAGCAATCATTTATGAGTTGACAAAGGATCCAGAAGTCGGTAATATCCATGCTTATTTAAAGGATCCAGATAATTCTGAACATGCAGGCCTTGTTGCAATTAGAAATAGGGCCCAAAATTACGAGACTGTGGATAATCTGTTGTTCTATGCTAAATCGACAAATGAAAACCATGAATGTAAGCAGTCATCCCAGCCACACTACGGCTAAGCATTTTGCAGGAATTGCATGATGCCCAACGGCTGGTCACTTAGGGGTGAGGAAAACGGTGCGTAGGTTACGCGAGGCGATGTATTTTCCGCGTAGTAGGTAGTGACAGCGTATGTCAGGTCCTGTAATTTATGTCAGT